TTTCACGACTCAAAGAACTTTCTTAGCAGAACCCTGTCTGCGACAATGTCTCGAGAAGCACGGAGTATCAGGACACCTGGGAGGCCCCAACAGACCCTCCTCTGACCTTGAACAGAGGCCCTGGGTGGGGGTTCCCTGACTCTGATTCCTCTGCCCTTGCATATTGGGCCGTTTGGAGAATATTTCCTTGGGAATGGGTGGCCCTCCATATGGTCAGAGAAGAACGTGGGGACGGGATCCCGCGTTTCAGGCCCTCCATCTGTCTGCCTGCAGTATATCCACCGGCCTGCAGCCTCCGCCCGCTGGGCTTCTCGCCATCCCCTGGGCCTCCAGTTCCCACGGACAGATGCCTTTTCCCAGCTGGCCAGCTGTCAAGCCTATGAGATGGTGGCTCTGCATGTCACCACGTGACCTGGGCCAGATGGCACCTGTCAACATCTGCTGTCACAGTGCCACGATGGGCAGTAGCCTCACACATGTCTGCGTGCGTCACAAGTGGGACCCGATTGCTTGACACCCAGTGTCTGTTCTGATTCTGCTGTCCCATCAGCCCTTGGGGCTCCACACCCCCACACCAATGCCGTCAGCTCAGCACCCACCTGTGTCCCCAAATTTCCCTCGGAGGGAGGCCCCTCTGTGTTCTTGCTGAAAAGATAAAGGCCCACGGAAAATTCCTAGCTCCCGGCAGTCTGTGGGGGCTTAATAAAGGTTAATCATCGTCATTGTACATCTCAGAACGGTTTCTAAAACATCTGCAGGGAGGGGTAGGAGGCTTTTGGCAGCAGCTACAACTGGCTCCTGCTGTAAGGAGTGACTCACCTGAACACCCCAAGCCTGGTTTGCAGGTGAGGGGAGAGGCAGGCAGCTTCCTGGAGAGCCTGGGAGAAGTTGGCCTCGGGGACGTGCGGGGCTTGGCTCCCTTGAGAGGCAGCCTAGGCCTCCAGGTAAGGCCATACAGGTGGATCACCCCCCAGGCTCTCCCAGACGAGAGGGGGCCTGATCCCAGAGAAGGGTTCTGAGGAGGCCTGTCCATGGCCGCGCCGGAGGAAACAAAGGCCAGACCCTCTGACTATCTGCAGCGTGGCCTTGTCCAAGTCCCCGTTCCTCTCTAGGCCTCTGTTTCCTCCGCTCCAGCGTCAAGGCCGCTATTGTTTGCGAGCTCAGCACTTTCCACATTTATCTCATTTAGCTCACAAGGTGGGTGGGCACTGCTAGCAGCTTCAGCTCAGAACACTCAGGTGGCCTCCACAGCTGGTGGTACCAGGCAGGCTCAGGATATGGAGAGCTGGGATTCGAACCCAGGCAGTCTGACCCCAGAGCTCAAGCCTGTGCAGCCCTACTCTGCTGACAGCCTTGGCCCAGGCAAGGAAAGGGCGCTGGGCTGAGGGACCAGGACCAGACCGAAGACTCAAGTCTCAGAGGGGTGAGGGGACGGGCGTGTCAGCACCCACACTCACCTGACAGCACAGAGGGGGAGTGACGTGGCACAGGTGAGTCCTTCAATGGTTTCAGTAACCTGAGTAGCTAGCTACAGGGCAGGAGGTGTCCATTCCTCCTGCCTGGCAGGCAGGACTGCTGAGCATCGCCCTGCCCTGGCCTGGGGGCCAACCAGTGGTCAAGGTTGGAATGTGAGGCCCTCAGGGCATTAAGGGGGAACTCAGTTGGGGTCGGTCAGAAGCTGGGCACAGCGTGAGGGGAAGACAAGGGGGCACATGCATGCAGAGAGAGAAGGGGTGACCTGGTGGTCCCAAGAGGCCACAGCCATGGCTTCCAGGCAAGGGAGGGGGACAGCAGAGTCTCAGCTGCCAGCTTGCAGAGATTCAGGGAGCCTAGGTTACTGATAGCCTGGGGCCAAGACAGGTGACACCCACGCTCACCTGACAGCCAAAGTCTGGTTCCCCTGCCGGCAGGTAGAGTTCGTTCGTTCATTCATCATTCATTCATCTAATATTTACTGAGCACCTACAGATGTGCCAGGCACTGTCCTAGGCTTCGGAGCCTGAGTTGTGCATAAGACAGACATGGTCTGTGCCCCTGTTGAGTTTCATAATCAAGGATGGGGAAAGAGAAGGGTTCCTTAGCATGGCCACCAAGGCCCCTGAAACCTGGCATTCCCCACGGGGATGCCCCCCTCTCAGCCACACTTACTCTCCACCCCCTCCTCTGGCCAGGCCTTGGGCTGGCCCCTCCCCTGTGTCCTTGCCCATAGCCTTGCCTTCCTCAGTGCCCCAAACTGGCCACTCTGCCCGTTTAATTCAAGATCTTCCACACCACCCCTCCCCCACGGGGCCTGGAGTAACTCTGAGTGGGCAAAGGTCAGGAACTGATGTGGCTTGGGGTCCACACCCACTGCTACCAGGCTACGCCCCTCCAGGATCCCTCTCCACCCCTCATCAGCAGGTTCCCACCCACAGTCCTCACTGGCTGTGTGACCTGGGGCCCGTGACTCCACCTCTCTGTGCGAGCCAGTCTCCTTATCTAAGAGATGGGAAACCTAGGCCCTGCACCAGGCAGGGCCTCTGGAACCACCTGGGCTTGGCATTGGCCTCTCCTACACCCCCTTTTTGCCACCCCACGTCCTGGACTACCCTGTCCTCACACAGCCCCTTGGTCTGGGGCCCAGGACCCAAACAGGAAGGCTGGGATGAGCTCTCTGGAGAGAGGCCGCAGGGGAGAAAGCAGGGGTTGAGGGTGGGGCCCATAGCAGCTCAGGAAACCAGGTGAAGCAGCCCCAGTTCACGTGGCCTGGAAATGGGGTGCAGGACAATGGGAGAGGGGGTGACAATGGAGAGAGGGCCCTATCAGGCTCCAGTGTCCCCAACACCATATCTCCTATTAGGCCAGAGAGAGGGAGGGTGAGCAGAAAACATGAGCTGTAAGAGGACACTGGGGTGGGGGGAATGGAAAGTGGACTGGGGTGCTGTGTGCGTGTGTGTGTGTGTGCGTGTGTGCGTACGTCTCCTGCAAGTCTCTGTCCATCTGTTTTTGTGTCTGTGTATGCGGATGTTTCTGTAGGTGTGTGTCTGCATGTAGAAGTGTCCGGTGCTTATGTGAAGAACTGTGTGTGCATGTTTTGTGTTTCCATATGTCTGGTGTGTGTGCGCGCGTGTGTGTGTGTGTCCGTGCGTCTGTGCGTCTCCTGCAAGTCTCTGTCCATCTGTTTTTGTGTCTGTATGCTGATGTTTCTGTAGGTGTGTGTCTGCATGTAGAAGTGTCCGGTGCTTATGTGAAGAACTGTGTGTGCATGTTTTGTGTTTCCATATGTCTGTGTGTGTGGTTGTTAGTGAATCTATGTGTACCTGTCTGCTGGCATGTATGCGTCTGTATAAGTTGGCATGTGTGTGTCTTTAGGGGTCTGTGTGTGACCTGAATCTGTGTGTGCTTTTCACGTGTGTGACTGTGGGTGGGACAGGCTGGCTGATCCCCATCCTCTCCCCACCTCGCTATGGTCAGACCTCAGTTGGGACCCAGCCCAGGGGGCAAATCTCACTCCTCATTTTGGGGTTCATGGACCAGCAGGCCCCACCCACGGTCTGTGGAGCTGTCACTGGGTCCTGAGTCTGGCTGGGTTTGTAGCTGAGAGACTTTGTGTCCCCTGCTCCCCTCCTCCAGTGCTGGAGCCAGCTGGAGCCACCCACATCCCAAATGGCATCCTAGCCGGGCCATGGACATCTCTCAGGCCTGCCGTTCAAGACTGCTGGGTGTAGCCAGGCCCGGGGCCAGCAGAGCTGCCCCCACACACACGTTCAGCAGCTGCTAAACCATTCAGTCGCCCCCGCTGCATACTGGGCTGGACGACGAGGTCCGGGGGACATCCCCAATCCAGGGCTGCTGCCGCCTTTCCGTCCTATATAACCCTGAGCAGCTCACGCACTCTCTCTCTTGGTCCAGCTTCTTCATTTACAACATAAAGGGCTGGGGCTAACAGAGCCGCAGCATACAGCTGTGTCATGCACTCACAGACGTACCTGGCGAGGTGACCCAAGGCACCCAGAGGCAGCCCAGACTCTGCCTTGCAGGCAGAGGAGCCTGGTGTCAGGTGCAGCGGTCAGGGCCAGGGGAAGCGATGCTTTTCTCACCCCACAAGACCTTTGCTCTTTAGGTCCTGTGCTCACGGCTGCATCCGCCCAGGGTGTCTGGTTCTAATTCTTATGAAGGGGCTGTCGTGAGGCCCCAGCCCACGCCCACCCCTCCTGGTGTCGGTGTCCTGGTGTCCACCCATCGTGGACCCTCCTCCATCTGTCTCTGGAGACTTCTCCTTCCCCCACCCTCCCCTCTCCCTTAAACCATCCAGTGTGGGACCCAGAAAGGCCCAGACGTCCTGCCCTGATCTCCTGCCTCATTTTATAGACCTGGTATCTGAGGCCTCTCAACCCACACCCCACTCACTTGTGACTCCCCCCTCCTCCATGGCCCACCTGCCCTCTCCTGGGGGCTTCCTCCCTCCCGCACTTGACCAAGCACTTAGCGCAGGCTGTGGGAGACCTCTTGACAGGAGGGGAAACTGAGTCACAAGAGCGAAGTGCCCTGTCCATAGAATCACGGTGAGTCCAACCGGGCCTCCCCGACTCCACGTCTGGCCCTCACCCCTCCGTCCCTGCATCTCTGCCTCACCCTCACCCCACCTTCTTCCAGCCGCCCCGGGCAGGGACAGACACGCTGCTCTGCTCGGCTTTACTCCTCTTTATTTCATTAGGAAAGTAGCTGGGGGAGTCCCAGCGGGCGACGGGGTGGGGGTAGGGACAGTAGCCGGCTCCTGTCCCTTGGGTTGGCGAACCTGTGGGGGATGGAGATGAGGCCTGAGGGGTTCTGGGTGATTCTGTGCACCCGTCAGCCCCTGAGAGGCCTGATCACCCACTCCCCACTCTGGGGCTGGGGGCCCCAGGCAGGGGGCTTCCTTGACGCAGGCCTTGGCGGGTGGGGCTGGCCCATTAGAGCCACTTTGGACACCGGGAGCAGCTGCGGGCAGGGGTTCCCCAGCTCTTACCTGTGCCTCAGGCTCAGTTCGGTGAGTTGAAGCGGTTGCTGCCAGGAGGTGTGGTGCGGTAGAAGGGGTCAGCCGAGATCAGGGTTCTGCAGGGAGAAAGGGGGGCCGGAGGAGGGAGGGGTAGGGCGGAGAGCCGGGGCCTTTTGCTCTGCGTGCCCATCCCAAGGGGCCAGCACTCAGCCAGGGCAGCCAAGCCACAGACATTCTTTGCCTGCCAACTTGGGGCCAATGTCGGTATAGACGTCATTTTTGAGGAATTGAGCAGAAAAGCGTCAGAGTGAGGCAGAACCACAGTCATTCAGCTTTGTGTCCGCCCCACCCCCACCCCCCTGCGTGCAGCCCAGGAGGAGGAGGAGCGGGTGCAGAGCTGGACTCCGGTCGCTGGGGAAAGGAGGGGAGGGGCCCCTTTGGGCAACAGAAGCAATGAACAAGCCAGAGAAAGGAAATGGGGCTCACTGAAGGACAGACAGATGGAGGGAGGGAGGGAGGGAGGAGAGGCTGGGGAAAGGCCTGGAACCAGCCAAGGACAGAGCCCGAAGGAGGGCATGCTACCTTCCCACATGGGGGTGCAGGTGCCTCAGACTCTCTGTGGGGTCGGGGGTGGCCTCCATGCGGGTGACAGGCTGGTTGAGGACGTAGCCTCCGGTCTTCTGGGGCTGGATACCACCTCGGGTCCAGCCTTCACGGTCTAGACCCTTGGGGATGTTTTCGAAGTACCTGTGGCACAGGAGGTGCCGTGGAGGTAAGCGGCCCTGGGCCCACCTCTGCAGCCTCTCGGCCTGTCTCCAACGGGAGTCTCGGCTCCCGCAGAGCACAAACTCCCTCGGATCCCCAGCCTCCTGGCTGTGGCCCACGCTGTCCGCTCTGCCAGGCACTCCCTAAGCCCTGTCCACTCGGTGGACACTTGGGAAGCCTGCCCTCCTCTGCCCTGAGCTGGACGCTCCTCCTTCATGCCACGCTGATGCTGAGATGCACTTGGGGTGTAAAGGGCTGGTTAGGCGGTGCCTCTCTCCCTGGCCTGTGAACATCTCGGGGGGTCGGGGTGGGGTTGGGGACCCCGTCTCATCCCTGTCTAGGCATTCGACTTTTCTTCCATTTTGCCCGTATTCACTGAGCACTGGGCCAGGTTCTGAAGGTGCCAAGATGAGTAAGATGTGGGCCCACCTTTGAGTGTGTGAAGAGAGGGTACGGATAGATAAATGTGGAAATCAGTGATTACAAGCCCTGGGGGCTCTGGGCGCACCCGGCAGAAGCTCAGGAACCACCACCCGCTGATGGGTGGGTGGGGGAAGGACCCGCAGAGATGGCAGAGGCTGGGGGTCTCCTTAAGGAGGGGCAAGGACACAGTTGTCCCTCCAACGCCCTGGGTGAAGCTCTGCCCCTCTCCCTAGCTCTCCGTGGGAACTGGAGCAGCCGTGTGTGTCACAGATCTGCTGTGAAGCTCAGGCATCACTTCTCCCCTCTGAACCTCATGGTCCCCACCCAAAAGAGGGGGGCTAGCTCCCCAGGCATCTCGGGGGACAGATGCTGCAAGGGGAGACTTTTGTCTCAAGAATTACTCCTCCTTTATCCCACTCCAATAATGCCCTCTCTCATCTAGTTCTGACCAGCAAAGCCTTCTCCATGGCTCCAGGGCCACTTCCTCCTGGAAGCCCTCCCTGATGACCAGGTTATTCACTCTTTGCCCAGGGCTCACACTGAGCCTACCTTCTGAGGGTGCAGGGAGCCATGGACTGGAAGTAGTGTCTTAGCAGATGCTGTTGTTACTCCCCGAGACCCTCTTGGACCCTCTTATCCTTCCCCTGGCCACCAGTGGCTTGCACCTCATCTACATGGGAAAGACTGCCCCTGGGCTGCGGGAGCTCCTCGGCCTGAGCAAGGAGGTACCTGGGATTTACACTGCCCTAGGGATAACCTTCAAACGGTGACTGACGGATGTGGGGGTGCGAATGCCCCAGCTCTCTCATCCCCGGGCTGGATAATTTTGAGTCATATGTTTGCACTGCTTTCTAGAGTGTCCCCATGGGATACCCGGCTTAATGACGCACCCATGCCGTCCCTTCCCCGCCCTCCTCCCTCTTCCTGACACTCCCCATTATTCTGGGGGACCCACATTACTCAGTGTTGCTCTTCTTCACAAGGCTGTGAGCTCATGGCTTGACCCGGTCTCAGTCTCCCTGTCTGTAAAATGGGTCCCAGCTTCACAGCCCCAGGTGTGGGCGGGGAAGGGACTCACCCTTGGTTGTAGGTGGTCAGGTATCGATTATCCATATCGGGGTCATAGGGGCTCCGGACGTAACTAGGGTTGTTAAGGCTGTACCCTGTGGGCTCCTGCACGGAGGGATAGAGTGTCAGGCCAGGAGGGCGTGTGGGTTTGGGGTAGGGTTTGGGTACCCCAAGTCTCACCTTATTCCCTACAGTTTCCCGGCCAAGCAGGGCAACGTTTGTCTGCTGTGCCCGCTGGGGGTGCTGGAGTTGCCAGTGGCTCATGCTGCTGGGTACTGGGCTAGGAGGAGGCACCTGCAGGGGGACAGAGCCACGAGAAGGGCTGCTGGGTGGAGACGCAGGTAAGCGCAACCCGCCCCAGACCTGGAGCCACCCGCCCTAGACCTGGAGCCGTACCTACCCCCCTCCAGCCACACCGTACTCACTGTTCCCAACACACCCCTCCCTTTCTGGCCCCTAGGCCTTCACTCCTCCCCCAGGGGCCCAAACAACATGATTCTTCCCATTGTTCAGGGCCCAGCCCAAGTCTAAGAAACTTCCATTGTTTCCCCCTCCCCTCTGAGTGTCCCTTTTCAGAAGGAGCCCTAAGGCCACTCACCCTAGGGTTCAGAGTCCTCTCATTCAGTCGGCTGAAGCCCGACTCCCGCTCAGAGCCTCTGGCCAGCCCTGGAAGGAACTCGTCACCCTAAGGCAGTAAAGCAGCCGCTGGCACCAGAGCCGCTGCTGCGCCTTCGACCACAGTGTCCTAAATCCCCCCCACCGCAGAGGACCCCGGCCTGTGGAGACAGGCATCTCTCCCCAGGCTCAGCTTACATGAGGGTGGGTGATGGGGAGAAAGTCCGACTTGGTGACACTCCGGCTGGGAAGGAGGACCTGAAAAGAGGCCGGCCAAGGAGCATCAGCCTGACAGAGGCAGCTGCCCCCTTGTCCTGAGCGCAGAGGAGGGGTCAGCACAAATGGGTTGTCATTGGAGTAACCGAGCAAAGGGAAGATTTGGGGGAGACGTGAGGGGAGGGAGGGAGCAGAATGGGCGCCAGCTGGCAGTGACCCCCGCTAGTGACCCCATCCATAAAATGGGGAAGTTAGACCAAGCTCTTTCATCTTGTGTTTGAACAAAGGGTTCTGTAGTTCACATTTAAAAAAAATAAATAACTACGGCCATGCCACCCTGAACAAAGCCCGATCCGCTCTGATCTCGGAAGCTAAGCAGGGTCTGGCCCAGTCAGACCACCTAGGAAGACCAGATGCTGTAGGCGTTAAATAAATAAATAAATAAATAAATAAATAAATAAGGGATTGTAAGCTGACAAGTTCCTTGCAATCTATGAGGTCAACCAAAGGTTGCCTTGCCTAAAAATAAATAAATAAATAAACAAACAAACAAACAAACAAACAAATAAATAAATAAATAAAAATAAAAAAATAAATAGAAGGTAGGCTGCCCCAGACTGGAGGGCTTCAATCACCCTGAGATTCTAGCGGGGCCCAGCCCGACTTACCGGGTTCCCAGGGAGGACCTGAGAGGGTGGCTGGAAGACAATGGGGTTCTTGGTGGATTCTTCGGTGAAGCCGGTCTCCTCCTTGGCACCAATTGATTTCTTCTGCAAAAGATCTGCAAGAAACAGCGCCGCCCCCATGCTGGCCCCAGGCCACCTGGCCCCACCTGCCTGGCCTCCCTTAGAGGCTCAGAGTCCTAGCAAGTGGGGAGGGAGCTGGCTCCAAAGATCTGGAGGCCCCGAGCCACCAGAATCGTGGGCACCAGGAGGACTCCAGAATCCCGGGCAGAGGAGGAGGAGGAGGCACGGGAGGACGGACAGGGCCGACAGGCCAGGAGGCAGCCGTGATCAGACTCAGACAGCCCTGCATGGCGAGTGAGCTGTCCTTCGGGGGCTGGCAGGCCTAAGGCACTGATGTCAGCCTGGGGAGACAGGGTCCCCAGCGCCGCCTGTCTGCCTGTCTGTCTGCCTGTCTGTCTTCCACTGGTGTCTTCTTAGTGCTGTGCCAGCTCCGGTCCCACAGGCTCTCTCCTGGGGTTGGGGGTAGGGAGGAGTGGTGGGAGGGAGGCGTGAGCTCAGACAAGCGCCCACCTGGCTGGTTGGAAGGCTCCTTGAGATACTTGGAATTATACTCGGAAGTCATGAAGCGCGGGCCCTGGAACACAGAGGGCAGAGCAACGGGGGGACGCGGGTAGGTCAGGTCCTGGACACGGGTAGGTCAGGTCCTGGAAGGGGGCTGGTGGCCGTGGGAGCGCTTTGGTGACTATGCCCTGAGCAGACCTGTGTAGTGTGTTCTGAGAAGGGAGGGCCGGGACAGCACCCCTGACTCAAACCCCTCTCTGATCGGGCATTCCCAGTGGCAGAAATCCCACCACGAGACCACAGCTCCCCTGCGACAATGAAATCCAAGTCACGGCCCACGCTGCACTCTGGGTAATGAGCAACGGGCCTGGAGCCCCCCAGGTCCCAGACCAGGAGGGGCCCAAAGAGAGGAGAGGGGCTGATGGAAGGAAATGGGTGCTCACTTCGTAATTCAGTGCCCAGGTTCAGGGCGTCTGGATGGGGTGGGGAGGGAAGAGAGCTCGGGTGTTAAATCCTAAGTTACGCAGACGGACCACTTTGATGCCGTCTTGGAAATATCAAGACAGAAGTTTTTCTTGGTGCCTTGAGCCCACACGTAGTGGGCTTCTTGGGTGGGTCTGGCCCCTCCGCCCAGCCCACACTTCTTCTTGGGGGCCGCCCACTCACGTGTCGGGCATTCTCCCATTCCAAGGAGCCCCGGCTCTGCTGCTGGTGGAGCAGAGGCACGTGCTTGGGCTCCAGCCCCGTGATGGCCTGGGGCCCGTAGTCCTGGGTGTCAAAATGGACCTTCCTGACCTGGGAGGAGGGAATGGCCAATTATCCTCTTGGTGAAGGGATGACAGTCACTTCCTGACTCTGATTCCGCCCTTGACCCCTACAGAGCATCTGCACAGTAGCCTGAGGGGGGCCCTTTACAATGAGGTCTGGGTCCTGTTCCTCCTGTGCTCAGAGCCCCGCAGCATGAATATCTCGGAGTAGAATCCTCCCTCCTGCCAGCGCCCCGGGGCCCTCTCCAGTGCCTGCCTCCTCACACCAGAGGCCACTACGCTCTGCCTCGGGGCCTTTGCACTGGCTGCTGGCATGGCCTGGAACACTCCGCCCTCACGCTGCTGCATTTGAGGGGAACACTAAGCTCCCTAAGTCTTTATCTACTGTCTCCACAGCAGGCTTTTCTAAGCCTCCTGCTTGGCAGTTGCAACCCCTTCGCTTCTGCTTCGCCCCCTGCCTCTTCCCCATGGTAGTTTCTCCCCTGCATGTATCTATCACCTTCAAAGATAGTAGAGAGGCTCAGAAAATCGGTTGAATGAATGAATGAATGAATGAATGAATGTCTAACATGGCGGTGGTGGTGATAATACAAAGGATGGACACAACAATGATAAAAATGAAGAAGGTGGGGATGATAACGACAATATTGAATGTGACGGTGATGGTGAGGATGGTGATGTGGGCTTGGAGGGGTGGATGGGAGGAGGAGGTCATGCGGGGGATGGGAATGAGGACAAAGGTGAGAAAGGTGAGAGGACCCCCCACCGCCCACCTCATGGCTCTTTCATGCCCAGACTTCTCAGCCTTGATCTACTCAGAGCAGGGCAGTCCAACTCTGCTGGAGGAGCCCCCTCTTTTCCACGCCCAGGCCTTCCTGCATTGCAGCCTAGGGCTCCCCGCTCCCTCCTGGCCCTGGCCCAGCACTAACCTCCTTGACGGGGGGTGCTGAATTGGCCTTCTCCCGAGAGTAGCCAGAGTTGGTCTGGTACGCATCCCAGGGCAGCTGGGTTCTGCCATCAGGCACCTCCAGGGGGCGGTAACTCTGGCTGGTCACCGTCTGCAAACTATCCCGGACTTGTTCCCTGAGTGAAGCAGGAGCAGGAGCCGCTACCGCCAGGGCCTGCAATGCTCATCTCTAGAAGTTTTCCGCCCCCCTCGAACCTCCCACGGATGCCTCGGGGGTCTGCCTGCCTGTGGGCCCCAGGCTGGGTGCCATGCTGAGCACCCCAGGACTCTAGACCTGGGCAGGCAAGGCTCAGGGTCCTCATGCATGGATGTCCATGAGAGCTAAAGCCCAGCAAGACCGGAGGTGAGAAGAGGGTGCACAGACCGTACCCCATGGCTGGGTTGTCCAGGGCGCCGAGACTGGCTTGGTAGGAGACCACAGGCCGGTAGTTTGATTTGTAGCCGGTGCCTCTGTGACTGCCTATGCGGGGCTTGAACTCCTCCCGACCTGCCAGAGGGGAAGCGGGGAGGCCGGAAGGCAGGTGAGCAGCGTGGGGGAGCAGTCGGCAGGGTGGGGCTGCCGAGGCGGGGCCAGCCCCGCCCCCAGCGTCAGGGGTCCCCGTGATGGAGGATGCACAGAGCCAGGGGACAGGAGCCTTGAAAGCCTGGCCCTTTCAGGACCGTGGCAGAGGGAATGGAATTGACGGGACAGGGACAAGTTCCGTGTGGCAGAATCACAGGTTGGATTCGGGGAAGGGACTAAAGAGTGGGGCTAGCCCACCAGTACGGGTTCGGACACGGTCCTTGGGGCGTTCAGAGGGCCAGTCAGTTCAGTATGCTGGGGTGGCTCTGAGTGGGTGGCTCTGAGCCCCCAGGGGGGCTGCTCCTGTCCCAGCGGGGCTGCCCCCATCCTGCCCCGTGTCCTAGGGCGGCTCCTGCACAAAGGTGCCCTCACCGTAGGCTGTACAGTAGCTGGTGGCGTAGAACTTCAGGGGGTCCGAGCAGCCCCCCGAACTCATCTTCACATAAGGGGAGACAACCCCCAGGGGCAGTTTCCCCATCATGATGCTGTGGGGCAGGGGGACCTAAGAAGAAAGCACAAAAAACCTGTCAGTTCAGCGGCCAAAGAGCCCCGAGCTGGCCCCAGACCCAGGCTATGGAGACCACTGAGGGGGTAATGGAACCCCACCCAGCTGGCCCCTTCCCCGAGGCCCGGCCCTCTCCACTGATACCCTCACCCCAAACTGAAGAAAGTACTAGTCATCGTTCACACTTATCTCACAAACACTGTGACTCATTTCATCTTCCCCACACCCCATTTTACAGCTGGGAAACTGAGGTTCCAACTGATGAAGGATTATTAGCTCATAGCAGGTGGCAGAGCCAGGATTCAAGCCCAGGGTACCTGACTCCTCAGCCCCTGATCTTAACCCCACCTGCCCTCCTCTGGAAACTGATGGCCAGACAACCTCCGGCCAGTGGCGTATCCTCGGCCACCCTGCCAGGATGCCCACTCCCAGTCTTAGGCTCCTTGTTTCTTCCTTAGCTCCCTAGGCCTTGCCTACCTCCCGCTAGAAGTTGGTTCTGATCTCCCTGGGGCCCACCCACAGCCGGCCCCACCCTTACCCGCCCTCCGCAGTGGCTCTGAGGTCTACGAGAGTCTGCAGAAGGCGCTGCTCCAGAGAAAGCTGGGCCCTCAGGGAGGTGACCAGGCCAGGAGAAACAGTACGTTGCCTAGCAACCAGCACCTAGCAACAGCGTCCCCAGCCTCTGAAGTCATTCTAAGGCCAGGGCCCAATGAGAGGCTGACCTGGCCAGGAGAAGGTATCAGGAGCTGCCCAGGCAAGGTCCTCCCTCCTTGCCTCTGGCCCCTATTGTCAGCCTCCCCCGACTGGGCCTGGCAGAGCTGCTGTCTGAGTGACAGGAAATAAAAGATAATCCCGAACAATCACTCCCACTTACTGAGTACCCACTTCTCGCCAGACACTTTGCATCCTTTATCTCCAGTCCTCTTAGTAGCTCTTCCAGGTAGCTATTATTATCCTTCTTTTCACATGGGGAAAATGAGGTTTAAGGCAAGCAAAGTGGCCGGAGATCTCGCAATCAGAAACCAGCGTTGGTATTCAGACATGCGTGGGTCCAGACCCCGCTTTCAGCCTCTCGGTGAATTAATGTTTACTGTGTTCTAGAGCCAAATCTGCGCCAAGCTCTCGTACACACATTACCTCGTGTAATCCTTCCCCAAACCACCTTGCGAACGGGGGACCGTTATTGCAGGGCCGATAAGCCACAGCGGCGGAGAGGGTGGTTCACCAGACTTGGCGCCTTTGACGAAGTGCTGCCTCTCTCAGAGCCTCTCTCAGTGCCTGTTCCCTCCTCTCCACTGAGGACTCTAACTGCACCCGCCTCGTGGGGCCATGGGCAGGTTTCGTGAAAGCGCCAACTCCGCACCTGACAGATAGTTGATGCTCGGCTTTTAAAGCTGCTCTTCTTAGCCTTTTTTTTTTTTTTTTTTTTTGCAGATGGGAAAGGTGAGGCCCAAGGACCAGTTGCTCGGGCCTCACAGTTGGCGGGAGCAGAGCCCAGACTAAAACTGGAGTGAGCCATCTCCGGGGTCCCTGCTCCTCCCGTGATGGACCACGTGCCCCACGTTGGCTTGAAGGCTTATAAATGCTAGCCGTTGGATCTTTGGGAAGGCAGGGATGGGAGTGGGGCGGGGGAGTCCTGAGTGGTAGCACTCGTCAATTTCTGGGGTGTAAAGACTCCCATCACGGCTGCTTTCAAACTGCTAAGGCAGTGTCACTGAACGGGGAGCTGGGGAGACGTGCTCAGCAGCCCACCGCTACCTGGTGTTCCCGCCATACACAGTAGATGGAAGTAACCTCAAGGGCACAAATGACAGAAATGGAGCAACATCGTGAGGAGATGATGACTTTGAAGTACTCGTTACCTTCATTTTTACCATATTATTAAATGGTAAGTTTATGTAATTTAATTTTCAACAGTAGCTGAGTTCAACAATCAGCTTGTAAATTTCATCTTCAGCTCTTAGGCGCAGTGAGCTGGCTCCAGTGCACCCCAGCCTTTGGGGGGAGTGCGGCGTGAATGAAGGGGAGATCCTTGCTGCACTCACCCCGAGGTGAAAGGAGGGGACTTGTAAGGTTGTCTGGCCATCAGTTTCGGCGGGGGGGAGCAGGTGGGGTTAAGATCAGGGGCTGAGGAGTCAGGTACCCTGGGCTTGAATCCTGGCTCTACCACCTATTATGAGCTAATAATCCTTCATCAGTTAGAACCTCAGTTTCCCGCACCTTGCCCCTACAGGGAGGTCCTGGACTCAGAAGTGACCAGGGCCTGGAGGAGGCGTGGCAGGCACCCATCCTCCAGAGTCACAGTTCTATTCAGGGATCAGAAGCTGCAAGGACAGATGCGAATGCACACAGCCTTGCCCTCCCTGGAGGGTAAGATAGGGTGCCAGGGGTGGGGGGTTGGGAGGGTAGGGGTGGTGGAAAGCTCACCCAGGGCGAAGGGAAGGAGTGCCTGTTCTCAAAGCGTCTGCAGAGAAGTGGTTGCAAGCAAGAGCTCAGATTCTGAAGCCAGCTGGCACGGGCCCTGGCTCTGCCACTTCATAACTCTAAGACTTGGTGCCTGTTATTTGTGCCTCAGTGATAACTGTACCTACCTGTGGGGTAGCAGGACACATAAGGCACTCAGTCCAGTACTCCTGGCACACTTAGATGGTAAGTGTCATCTAAGAGTTAGGGAAAGGCCTTGGCTAAAGTTAGGGCCCAAGGGTTTAAAACGGGGGAATTCCATGCAGCCCTGCCCTTGGGGAGCCCAGAGTCTCCCCGGGTCTCAGACACAGTCAGTGTGATAGAGCCAGAGAAAACTCAGTTCAGGAACCTGAGCCTGTTTTTTCCACTTGGAAGAAAGTAACACAGCGCCCACCTGGCAGGGGTGCTGCTGGATTTGAAATACCTTATGCACAGCGTCTAGCAAGCAGCAGGCCTGCACCAGGCGGAGATGAGGGCGGACGTTCCATGTGGAAGGCCCCACAAGGGCAAAGGTGGGGAGGCCTGGGCGCTGAGAGCTGTGGTGACTGGTCCCGTGTGGCTGGGGCACTGTGTGGGGAGGACGGGCTCCGCTGCGGGAGGAAGTCTCCGGGAGGCTGTGGCCGGGTTTTCCTTTTTTGCAGGGTGGTGAAAGGTTTGAAATAGTCCCATAGCTCTGTGAGGGAAGCTCTTGGGCTTCTGAGCACGGCTTGGGCTGGACCCTGCAAAAGACTTGAGCAGGAATTCCGGAAGCCAAGGCTCCCCTAGTTTGAGCTGCCCGCCAGCGGCCGGCCACTCGGTAACCTGTGTTTTTTTTTTTTTGTTTTTTTTTGCTGTGTGGCGACACCCAGCGGCCGTAACTAGGAACTACAGGACGTGCAGCAGGTGCGCCCGGAGAGGCGCAGGAAGCGGACAGAGCGACTAAATCGCCCCAGCCACAGGCGCCGGGCCTCACCCACCCCCAGGCTCTCCAGAACAGAAGGGGCAGGCCTGGACAAGGAGTATTTCCGGCAAGGGCCCAGAACCTGCAAGGAGGAAGGAGCCTAGGGGCTGTGAACCCGGTGCTGGTCCGATTGCTGGTGACCCCATTGCTGTGTGACTTTTCAGCTTCTCACCTCTGGGCCTGTTTTTCTATCTGCAAAGTGAAGGGGCAGACTAAATCCTTCTAGATTTTAAGTTGGAAATCCTGGGCTCACCTCAGCCCATCTTCCCATAACTGTTCCCATTTATAAAGCACTTCCTCTGTGAGAGAGTCAGCTTTTCACTTTTCCCTCCTTGCAAGACAGAAACTATTATCCCCATTTTACATATGAGGAAACTGCCCCAGACCTCACAGGCAGGAAAGGGTGGAGCCAGTGTTGACTCTGGAATTGCTCCAGGCCTGCTGGAATGTGCTGGCGAATTGCTGGTTGTAAAGTGCTGGGACTGTCATTGTAGGCTCAGCACCAACCGCTTGGTTGAGCTCAGTGATTTTCTAAAGGCATGGGCTGCCCTGGCTAGATGGGTGACCGCTTTGTCCTTTCTAGACCTGCCCACTCCTGAGCAATAAGATGGGCCCTTGTTTCCTTCATGTGAGAAGGCAGGGAGGGGTACAGATACCTGGGGGCCAGCCCTGGACAACAGCAGCTGCCTCCCCTCTGAAGCTTTAAAGGTGGAGGCTCAGGCACAAGCAAGATGACATTCTAGGGCCCTGGCCCACGGAACTCCTTAGCTGGGACCAATAGGGACAGGCCCTCAAAGGCATCCGAGGCCAGCATGCACTATTCTTTGGCTGCTGAGTACTGAACTGGGACAGACATCTGCACTCCGTGCTCTGGGCTGAGTGAGCTTCAGGCCCCCAAAGGAGGACCACCTCGGGCAAAGGAGACAGCCCGCCACCAAGCATGGCTCCTTTTGCTTTGATTGACGTGGCTGGCCTCAGAAGACAGGGCCAGAGCTCTCATCAGGAAGAGACAGGTTAAAGGAGGGAAAAGCTTCCTACCACACCCAGCCTTCTAACGGGGACAGGGAGGAGTGAGTTCTCCGTGCCAGGAAGCATTCAAGCAGAAGTTTGAATCTGCTTGAATCTGGATGACAATAATAGCAAACTCTCATTCAGAGTTTATTAGGTACCAGGAGCTGTTCTACGCATCACACCTATTAATACATTTAAACTTCACCACACTGTATAGTGTGTTCCTGTGTGGTCGGTGGTATCAGCACCTTTGTTTTACAGATGAAGAAACTGAAACAGAGAGGCCGCATAATTTGTCCAGGGTCACACAGCTAACAAACTAGGGGAGGGGTTATTATTTGAATCCGGGCAGGCTGGCTCCCAAGTTGTGCTGGTGACGACTTTGACACTGCCTTGTGGGCTGAGGTAGAGGTTCTCCAGGCTATTTTCAAAATGATAGTTTTCAAAAATCCTTTCTAAAAACTCTTCCCTCCCATGCTCTCTCCTGCATCCAACTCCTTAGTCTGTGCTGGGTGCTGCTGGGCAAAAATCCACAGAAGGTTTAAAGTCATCCCAATCGGCC